TTACATGCACCATATGCACATGGCTGCAACTCATTGATGCATGATAAGTTTCCTAACAGAATTTAGTCACATTGGTTGTTTTTATGACATGCTACCTAGTTGACGTACTCGGATTAACTTATTTTGCCAAGTTAGGAAACATTGTGTCAACCCTCTGTACATCTCAAGGGATGATGATCATTTCTTTCTCAAAATGGTATTTCTATAGGAATATCAAAAAGAAGCAAGTACTGTTGAAACAGTCTATTGGTGTTGATCTCAGTGTCCACTAATGTAAGAGCCACATACAATAAAGTTCAGGTGTTTGAGAGCCGCAAGATATGAACAACATTTACACATACATTTTTGTTGCATTAACATTAAGCGTACTTTTTAATTCAATCGGGTCTCATACCCAGTAAAATAATTATAAAACTTGAAATTTTCCTTATTTACCTATATTAATTTCACTAACTTTTCTTATTTAGTAATATTAACTGTGATGAAAAAAGGAGCTTAGCAAACATATTTCCATGAGCCACATGTTGACTCGCAAATTAGGTTTTGGTAACCCCTTATATATACAGTAGGTAGCAAAAGTATTTAACACATTGGTTTTTTTTACATATCTCAAAAAATAACAAATCAATTTCAACGAAACTTATAGGAAATATTTAAACGAACATTGTCGATCAAAACATAAAAGGAAAATTTAAAACCACTGTTTTGAGAAACATTTATTAACAATAAATAAAATAACCCATATGCAAAAGTATTTAACACACTTTACTAATATTTAGTACAGTAGCCTCTGTTCTGCTTCACAGCCTCCAGTCATTTCCTGTAGTCTTCAACTAGTTTCTTGCAGGTACTTGTTGGTATTTTGAACCATTCTTCTTCACAAATTTTCTTCAATTCGTTTAAATTCGATGGATTTCTTTTATGAACTCGTAACTTCAATAGTTTCCACAAATTTTCGATTGGATTTAAATCCGGTGACTGGCTTGGACATTCCAAGACATTAATGTCATTATTATTTAACCAATTCTTAGTTGTTTTAGCAGTATGCTTCAGGTCATTGTCTTGCTGAAATACAAAATCACGACCATGTCCTAAATATGTGGCACTGTTCAAGAGTTGAGTTGACAAAATTTGAGTGTATTTTGCAGCATTCATTGTTCCTTTGATGATTTTCATTTTTCCCATTACATTTGAGGAAAAACAACCCCACATCATAATATTTCCACCCCCATGTTTCACTGTAGGGATGGTATTTGCTGGCTTGTATTCCGCTCCATTTTTCCTCCATACATGAGTGCACATCTTTCGTCCGTAAAGCTCAAATTTCGTTTCGTCTGACCAAATTACTTTCTTCCAGAAATCATTAGATTCTATTTCATATTTCTTTACAAAATTCAAATGGGCTTCTACATGTTGGCGTTTCAGTAATGGAGTCTTTCTCGGTGATTTTGAAGTGAGACCTGCACGATTCAGTGATCTTTTAATTGTATCTTTACTAACTTCAATTCCAGCATTTTTCAAATCATTCTGAATTTCTCGACAAGTTGAACATGGATTTTTCTTCACAGTACGGGAAAACTTATTAGCTTCATTTAAGATACGGGGACGACCACTCCTTTGAATGTTTTCAATAGTATCAAATTTTTTCCATTTTCGAACAACAGCACCAACTGTACTCACAAGCAAATTCAAATCTTGAGCGATTTTTCTATACCATCTTTGTGATTCTAAAGAATCACAAAGATGGTATAGAAAAACCCTCTTCTTGCGCATGTCGTTCGACAATTCTTTAGTTTTCACCATTTTTTGCAGTAGTGGCAACAGAATAGCTGCAGTGTCTCAGAGCTGTTATCTAATAGCCAGTTGAGTGTCGTGCAGTGCTGTCATTGGTCGACATATCACATCATATCAGTATGGGTAGGAATCATGACGACACGTCTCTTCTAGCATAATATTTGCATTGGTGTTAAATACTTTTGCATATGGGTTATTTTATTTATTGTTAATAAATGTTTCTCAAAACAGTGGTTTTAAATTTTCCTTCTATGTTTTGACCGACAATGTTCGTTTAAATATTTCCTATAAGTTTTTTTGAAATTGATCTGTTATTTTTTGAGATATGTAAGAAAAACCAATGTGTTAAATACTTTTGCTACCACTGTATATACATATATATATATATATATATATATATATATATATATATATATATATATATATATTTCATTCTGGGTGCAAGGATGCTCTCCCTCCCCATCAAATTAATTCTATTGTTTACAAATATAATTGTAGTTGTGGTGCTGACTACATAGGGAGAACTACTCAACGCCTGGACATGAGAAATAAACAGCATATTTCCACCAAATCAGGAATCATACCTTATCTTTGAATGGACTTGTCCCAAATACCTATGGTTCCAACAAATGTGAGCACCTCTTCAATAACAGAGTGTGTGCTGCTAATTTTAGTGTGGACTGGTTCACTGTTCTGTCCTGGTTGCACTCATTATTTCATCTCAAGGTGCTGGAGGCACTTTACATCGGGTCCCGCAAGCCTTTCCCGTGTAAACAGCGTGAATGTTTGTTGGGGCTCACTGTTATTTGCCTCTAGCTCTTTGTGTTCAATTTATTTTTTTTCCCCCTTCTCGATCTCATTACACATTTTCTGTTAAAACTTCCGTAAAGGCCTGAAAAGCAGGAGCGAAACCAGTTACTTCGTTTTTAACATGTCTTGTAATATTAAGCTACACACTTTTATTTCTGTAATTAGATTTTGTACCTTCAAAAATATTTTCAAATATATATATATAATATATTCAAAAATTACAACATAAATATGTTATAAAATCACTACAAAAATAGCCATTTTTTTTCACTTGATAAGACACCAGAAGTGTTGAAACAAAATGGCTATTTTTGTAGTGATTTTGTAGGGCTAGAAAAAGAAAAAAGAAAACATATGAGCAATATACCATGCCCTGCTTAAGATTTAATTACAGTTTAATTAGACGATTGCAATGAAAAGTGAGATTAAAGTTAAGCCTTTAATAAAGAATTGTTTTTTAACTGTTTGATATTTGAATTTAAAGAAACTTTTTTATTTAATTTTTAATTGCGTGTTACTTCAGGTTCGTCAAAATCAATAAATGGACCTACAGATGGTTGCACGTACACTGCACTTTATTATTATAGAAGATATTATTATCTTTGATTTTTCCTTCACCAAATATATCTACATATTCCCCGCCTTTCTCTTTCTTCCTTTTTCATCATATCATATTTTAACCATATTCCCGTCTTCCAACACTACTACATGGCTTGACAATGTTTGCTACAACTTGCAACACACGAGACATCTTTCCCCTCCCTAACCTTTAACTCTCTTCATCAATGTTTACAATCTCATTCCACACCCAAGTAATAACAGACTTGCCTAACACTTTTACAATCTAAATTTTAAATTTAAGTTTATTTTCATAAACGGTTTTGCATCATCAAAGAATGAGTCACAGATCTGTTTTTTGCTAATAATATGATTTCTACTGGAAAATACCGTATCTACAAAAACTATCTGTTGGTCAGCAATTCCAATTTCTCTGTTTGTTTCTCAGACCATTGATAAAGGACAGACATATCCCAAAATTCTGAACATAAATCCTTTCTTTCCATGCTTCATTTTCGTCATATGGTTAATATTTAATAAATATTTATCGTACTAATCGTATTGGTACCCTTTCATTTGTCCTTGTTTTATTAAGGAACCTATCTATTTTACATATACATATATATATATATATATATATCTGTGCATTAGAAGACACACACTAATATTGTAAAGAAATTGCTAAGAAAAAAAAAGTCACTCTCATACAATACATTCACCCTGCGTCCCTCACATATTGGCACCATGCATTGTTTACATTAATCACTTGTCTGATTTTGTTTGTATGGCAATGACATACTAAGTCAAGAGCAGAAGGGCTCTTGCCACTCCTAGTAAACAGAGCATGTTTAAACTTGTGGCTTGGCTCCAAGAAGATTTATAATCTTGGAAATACTTGTAACAGTTAAGTACTGAGATTACATTATATAAAAGGCTGAATTAGATAGCTAATATTATAGTGTAATGACTCAACATAAAAATCCATGTCCCTATCAGTCAAATCAATTAGGTGACTGTCCAAGCTTACTTGAGCCTGGCCACTGCTTTACATTTGTCTTGGAAGACACACATACTTTTCAGGGTATTTTTAGGTATGTGTGTGTGTATATATATATATATATATATATATATATATATAATTATGAAATGGACAAAGTCCGACAATTATTTAAAGACATTTTTATGTTTAACATTCTTTTTATTATTATTATTATTTTTTTATTTTTATTCAAACGTTTTTGGCCGAGAGGTAAGGTATGTCAGGCTATATGACAGTTCCGTATAGGATACAGGTTTGAATCCTGTCGAAGGACGAATATTTTCTATGAAAATTTTTCGGACATTCAGGCCGGTAAATGTTATTTAATACATACAGTTTATTATAAACAGAGCATTTACTTAAATATTTGTATCAATAAAAAGAATAATAAACATAAAATTAAATATATATATATATATATATATATATATATATATATATATATACACACACACACACGTGTGTGTGTGTGTGTGAAAAAAAGTGACATCAGCTTTCAATATGTCACTTTCCACAAAAAAGAACTGAGCAATAAGGAAACGTAGAGGGTAAGTAAGAAGGCTTGAGAAAAATGGAAATAAAAGAAAATGGCAGAGATGAAAGACGGACGGGTTTGCTCTCTTGAGTTTCATAACTCCTTTACCAATTTGATTGTTTAAAATGAGTGAAGTTTTATTTAAGCTTCGTTTCTTCTAGAGCTTAACATACACCATAAGTAGGTAAGTAGAGACATTAGTATTAATATATAAATTAAGATATATATATATATATATATATATATATATACACACATACATACCTGCATGACTGCATAAGGCAAAAGAAGAGCTGTGTCAAGCCAGCCTAACTGTGTTTTGGATATCTTCAGGATGACCTCAAGATCAGTTTTTACCTGATTAAAAAGAAAAAGAAAGTTACAGACAAAAGAATAAATGAATAATTTACTAGTAATGATAAATCACATTTTTTTTCAGTTTTAATTAAGACATTTGTAAATTCAACTTACCATAAAATCCCTCATATTTGGAGTCCTTCATATCTGGACACAATTTTGATGTGTATATTTGAACTATTTGGGTCATATGTAACTGATTTGAAATTTGTTTTTTCAGGAAATTTACTTTGGATAATTGCTTATGCTTATTTCAGCCTAATGGCTTGTATTGGTGCAAAGGATGATGGGAATAATAAGAAAGGATGACAATGAGACACATCTGCAACAAGATAGCGACAAGATGCATGATTGTGATGAAACCGGGACTGAAATTGAAAAAGCTATTGAAAAGTTTGTTAGTTTTATGGAAAGGTTTGGTTTGGTTTGGTTTGGTTTATTTTACGGCATATCAACCCCAATAGGCTACTCAATGCCAACAAAATTTTTTATTGCTGGTAATATTTTGTTTTGTCAAAAACCTGATCTGGTAATATTTTTCCTTCAAAATTTTATTGCTGGTAATGATTTTTTTTTCAAAATAGTATTGCTGGTAATAGTCAACTATTTGCCCATAGCTAGGACCCTAACAGGTGCTACCACCCTGGATCAGGATGGACCTGGGAATACCAACAATTAAGAGGTGGTTCCATGCTCCTCAAAACCTCCTGATCAGAGGCCTTGCTGCTGGACGTAGTTTATCGTCTTACCCAGGACGTGGATGTAGTTTAACGTCATACCCAGGACAGTTTTATGGAAAGAAAGCCAGAAGTTAAAAAGTGTCTTTTGTTTAAAAAAAATTCAAGAACCAAAGCAAAACGAAATGCGGAAAAGTTGAGAATAAAATTAGAAGAGAAAGAATCATCATGCAACAGCGATTAAAAAATCCTTGTTATATTATTTGTTTTGCATCCGTGGCATACTTAATTTAATGAATTGTCATTAACATTACATAATTTTATTTCTTTTCTCCTTAAAACCAATTCCGTTATATTTCACTCTTCATTAGCTTAATTTGTTTACTATAAAACATTGAAAATAAATATTAAACATGATTTCAGTTCTTTTATTTTAATCTAAATATAAGCCCTCATATCCAGACTTTGTAACCAATTCCTCATATCCGGAAGACCTTCTTCGTCCGGTTGTCAGAGATTCTACTGTAATATACTTATAAATTCAAATTATTTTCTTTTATTTAGTTAAGCTTGCATGGGAACATAGCCAAGTGGTTAGAACATTCACTTTCTGACCATGAGACCCAGGTTTGAATTTCAACATGGTTGATTTGTCAGGAAAGAGACTTCCTGATGTTATTGGACCGGAGATGGCAATTACAGTGTGCAGTACCTTTGGAAAATGCCTGAAAACCATACAACCGATTGACCCAAGCCTTGTGCATGAAACTAGGTAGACAGTACCCTTAGTGGCCATCGATAGCTGTACTAGCACAATGTCACATTTTTTAGCATGCTGGCCTTGTTCAGATTGTTGATCATGCTAGATGGGCTCTGTAGGTGTTGAACAAACACAAATGTGCTTGAGCAAATGTTTGCAATAGAGATTGGCTCGCTACCCTAGTAGACAGGTATCCTCAAGTATGAGTGGCCAGCCATACATTTAGTTAAGTTTATTGAAGCATGCATCAAAAGGACACCAAGTCATCTTCAAGGAAACTGTTCTTTAATTACAATATGTCCATATCTAAACAATTGGCTGTATATAACTGCTTTCCCAGATCAATACTTAAAAATTGATTTGAGAGAGTAAAGCCTGTGTAAAGCCTCAAACTTGGTGAACTGGCACTACAGAATCACAAACAAAGAACTGTACCAAATAACAGAAACTACATCACTTGAGGACTTTCAACAGCTGTAACAACTAAAATGGATAGCACATGTAACTTGAAGAGACAATAATGAAGCTGTTGACATTTCATACCAATTCAAATAGAAGGTTTAGAACAATAAGCCCCACCAGTAGGGCATGGTAATATTTTGGTGGGGTATGCATAGGATGTGCACACTTCGGCTTACTATACCAACATCAGCTCAAATTTTATTTTGTATTATTATTTCATGATTAAAATGAACAAAGTATATTACAGAATAAGCTTTCATTCAAATATTTTATATTTCTGCCTTTCAGTTCTCTATTATGTTTTGAAACTATATATATATATATATTTTTCACATATATTGGCTCCTGAATTAAGGTTGAGCACTCTGAACCTTTATTTTTAGAATAACTTCTTTAAAAAAGAAAATATATATATATATATATATATATATATATATTTAAAAATTATAACATAAATATGTTTATTCTACAATCTACATTCAACATCATCACTTGATAAGACACCAGAGGTGTTGAAACAAAATGACTATTTTTGTAGTGATTTTATAATTTTTAAATAAATAATTATATTCACTCTACTCTGTATTGAGCACTCTTAAGAATAGTAATTGTTGGTTAGTGGAATTTATTCCATATACACCAATCATATACTTGTGTGTGTCAAGTATATGATTGCTGTATATGGAATAAATTCCAATAACCAACAATTACTATTTATATTTTGCATATGTGTGTGTATATTTACCAATATTATCTATATATATATATATATATATATATATATATATATATATATATATAAAGAAATGGACAAAATCCGACAATTTATTTATTAAAGACATTTTTTATGTTTAATATTTCTTTTTTTATAGATACAAGTATTTAAGTAAATGCTCTGTTTATAATAAACAGTATTAAATAACATTTACCGGCCTGAATGTCAAAGAAATTTTCATAGAAAATAAAGGATTGAACCTGCATCCTTTACGGAACGTCATTTAAGCTGGCCGTGCCTTACCGATGAGCCACAAAGGGCGTTCGGTAGACAAGGTCGAATTAAAGTTTATAAGCAGTAAATTCAACCTTGCCTACGAACGCTCCTTGATGGCCCATCGGTAAGGCAACGTCCAGCGTAAATGACGGTTCCGTAAAGGATGCAGGTTCGAATCCTGTCAAAGGACGAATATTTTTTGAAAATTTCTCGGATAGTAAATTTATTTAATACTGTTTATTATAAACAGAGTATTTACTTAAATACTTGTATCTATAAAAAAGAATGTTAAACATAAAAATGTCTTTAATATATATATATATATATATATATTTAACTCTTTTGGTTTTTTTAATTTTTCTCTTTCATAGATGCCATTGTCTTGGAGGCTTGTTTAGAGACCAAGTTAATGGCCTTTTAAGCTTCCTTCATGCAAATTGCAGTAAAATTTTGAATATGTAAGAATTAAATATTACAGTGCCCCCCAGGGCACCAGAACTTTAGAAATACCAAAGTGGGGCATGGCCCAAAATCGGTTGGGTTGAACTAATTTAGAGGGAAATTCCTATCAGTATTGGAGAGAGCATTAACAGCTACTGGAATCGGGAAACTTATTTTCCTGAAAAATTATTTTCAGAGAGAGATTTTATAAATTTCAACCAACAATAGCACTGGCTGCTCAGTCAAGGAAAGCCAATTGTTTCCTTATAAGGAAATGGCTGATATTACCATTATCATTTCTACAGCCATTATAAATGACAAATTTTAAAAAATGAAATTAATTTTAATTTACAAATATTTAAATGGTATATTTTGTTTTTTATAAAAATGGTATATTTTATATAAATTTGGCACAAATATTTAGTAATTCACAAAAAGTACTATCTCTGTTCCAAAATACTTGTTACATATAGAGTATGCTGTGTATACAATTCTAACAATTATCATGTGGCAGCCATAGGATTTTCTATTACTTTTTTTTTTTCATTTTACCCTAAGCAAGGCAATAAAACTGCTGAGATAGAAGGGGTTACTGAATTATTAGAGAATATGAGAGGGGAAAAAACATTATTAAGGAGAGAGAGAACAAGAACAAGTACTAAGAAAACAGAAGTTAACGATTGACATTGCATTTAAATTTTTGAAGATCAAAGGCAATAAAGCCACTAGGACGCAAGAGGTTACTGAGTGTTAGATAAAGAATATGAGAAAAACTCTTAAGGAGAGAGGACAATAAAAGAACAGGTATTAAGAAAATAAAAGATAACAATTGATATTGCATTTAAATTTTTGAAGAACAAACTTGACTGTGAAGCAAGAAGCCAGAAGAGTTTACCATAAGTGAGAAGTGTGACAGAAGAAACTGCTAGCATAGAACTTATGGTTCAAGCCATTTCAATTGTAAAATGATGAGACACTGTCACCAATCTAGTACTGAGCTTAAATTCATAAAGTCTAGATACTATTGCGGAAAGTAATAATTATTTTGAATAATACAAAAATGTGGCACATGGCCAAAAGGGAGGGAGAGATAGGGGAAGGCTAGTCTTCAATCTGTCTTATCTTAAACTTAGCTGGCCATGGTTACTGACCCATACATACCACAGTATTCCTTACACTAAAACAACACTTTCTTATTTACAATTCTCTTACTACAGCCACCTAATTCCTCAAAGGCTCTATGTAGTCCGAACTAGTTCCCATATATACAATTTGTCTTGGGAGTGGGGATAAAATAACGAGAATTAAAAGTGAATATTTACAATGAATAAAATTTATATACAAAGAAACTACACAAAATAGGAAATTTCAAAATAATTATCATGAAAGTAGAAAAGGCTACATTAGAAGAATTAGTTGCTATTATAAGCAAACAAGAACAACTCATTGTTCTGAGAGATTTAACGAGCAATTTAAATTTTGTTAATCCTTCATTATTCCTCTAAGGTTTTAAACACCACATTTAAAATATTATAGATATATTAGCAATCTTTAAACTTTGTGCCTACAACAAATGGTATATCAAAAGGACAATTATTCCCTTGACATAACTATTACTGTATACGCTTTTGACTCCCTCGGAAATGTTTGTTGTTTTAAAAATCAATGA